CCTGAGAAATCCTGGATTTATGGAGCTGGGGAGGGAATTCTGGGGGGAAATCCTGAGAAATCCTGAGAAATCCCGGATTTACGGAGCTGGGGAGAGAACCTGGGTGGAGAAATCCCCATAAATCCCCGATTTCTGTAGCTGGGGTGGGGATTTGGGTGGAAAATCCCGGCGAATCCCGAATTCCTGGATCCTGTTCCCGCCAGGATTCCAATCCCTTCGCTTCCCTCGTTTTCTACTGGGAGCCGCTCTGCCGCCAGGTGAGGAGGGATCCCCGGGATCCTGGGAATGGGATCGGGCCGGGAATTGGGGGCTGGGGGCTCACCCCGCTGGTTTTGGGGTGGAAAAAGCAGGGAATGGGGTGATTCCACGCTCAGGAGCACCTCTGGAGCCGCTGGACAGATCCCAGGGGATGAAGGAGCCCACCAGGAATGGGATCCGTGCATTTTTGGGGTGGGAAAAGCGGGGAATGGGGTGGTTCCGTGCTCGGGAGCACCTTTGGAGCCTCTGGCCGGATCCCAGGGATGGTGGTCCCGGGGTTTTGGGTGGAAAAGGCAAGGAATGAGGTGATTCCGTGCTCAGGAGCACTTTTGGGGATGCTGGCCAGATCCCAGGGATGGTGGTCCTGGAGTTTTGGGGTGGGAAGAGCAGGGAATGGGGTGGTTCCGTGCTCAGGAGCACCTTTGGAGCCTCTGGCCACATCCTAGAGGACGATGGACCCCACCAGGAATGGGATCCGTGCATTTTTGGGGTGGGAAAAGCGGGGAATGGGGTGGTTCCGTGCTCGGGAACACTTTTGGGGATGCTGGCCGGATCCCAGGGATGGTGGTCCCGGGATGTTTTGGGGTGGGAAAAGGCGGGAAGGACGGAGCTGTCGCTGCCCAGGTGCGGATCGAGGGCTCGGTGAAGCGGCTGCCGGAGGAGGAATCCGAGCGCTACTTCCACTCCCGGCCCAAGGGCAGCCAGATCGGGGCTCTGGTCAGCAGGCAGAGCTCCGTCATCCCCGACCGCCAGGTGAGCGCTGGGACCGGCCACGGGATCGGCCATGGGATCAGCCACGGGATCCCGGGGATCCTGCTGGGATCAGCCACGGGATCGGCCACGGGATCGGCCATGGGATCCCAGGGATCCTGCTGGGATCAGCCACGGGATCCCGGGGATCCTGCTGGGATCGGCCACGGGATCCCGGGGATCCTGCTGGGATCGGCCACGGGATCGGCCACGGGATCCCGGTGATCCGACTGGGATCGGCCATGGGATCCCGGTGATCCTACTGGGACTGGCCACGGGATCCTGGGGATCCTCCCGGGATCGGCCACGGGATCCCAGGGATCCAACTGGGACCAGCCATGGGATCCCAGGGATCCTACTGGGATCGGCCATGGGATCCTGGGGATCCTCCCTGTTCCCTTTGGGATCAGCCACAGGATCCTGCTCATGGTCCCAGGATCGGCCACAGGATCCTGGGGATCCTCCCTGTTCCCTTTGGGATCAGCCACAGGATCCTGCTCATGGTCCCAGGATCGGCCACAGGATCCTGGGGATCCTCATGGGATTGGCTGTGGGATCCTGCTGATCCTCCCTGTTCCCTTTGGGATCCATGGAATCCTCTGTTCCCTTTGGGATTTATGGAATTCCCTGTTCCCTTTGGGATTTATGGAATTCCCTGTTCCCTTTGGGATTTATGGAATCCTCTGTTCCCTTTGGGATCCATGGAATTCCCTGTTCCCTTTGGGATCCATGGAATCCTCTGTTCCCTTTGGGATCCATGGAAT